ATGCCGCCATGGCGTGTAAGCTGGCATGGTGCCCATGGTGATGCTTTGATGATGCCACTGCCTGAGCCGTTTCATGCTGATGGCCTGATGCTGTTATGTCTGTTTGCTGGCATTAGTGATTGCTGACTGCTGGTGACATGTTGCTGATGCTGATTCGCTGGCCATTTTGATGCGCCCATTGCTGACCAGCTGTCAAGGGTGCATTTGGTGATGCTTTGATGCTCGCACCTGCCTGATGCCGATCTATGCTGATAGTCTGATGCTTGCTCACTCTGGTTGATGCTGATGCTGCATGCTGATTGCGCCACCTTCGGTTGATGCCTGTCATGCCGTGCCCATGCTGATCCTGCATGCTGCCATGCTGCATGCCGTCATGCTGACTGCCTGATTTCTGTCATTCGGGTTGATGTCTGATGTTCTTTGCCATGTTTGCGTGATCGCTCCCGCCATGCTGATGCTTCTAATGAGTGCTTGTTGCTCAATATTAGCCTTGCAGTATAATATGCCCTAGAGCGCCCCAGTAAAATGGCCAAGAGTCAATTAAAAAACTTTACAACTAACATAACAGAATTAAAACTACCAGACACTTGTCACGTTCACTAGTTATCTAGCTTAGACTTAAGGTTAGACTTCTAACGCTATGTGTTAGTAAGTTTGGTACGACAATAAATACTAGGCCCACAGATATATGACAGACAGAAGACAATCGCATGACGGGTTCGCGATGTCTCGCGCGGAGGATGTGGGGGTTCACCTTTTCCGGCAACAGCCAATCAAAGCACATATATGTGTTAGTAGTTGGTACGACATAATACAAGTGTTATACATGACAGACGAAACTTGGCCATGACGTTTCGATGCTCCCAGAGTTAGGGGGTCACCTCTCCGGCCCAACACCAATCGAAGCACTATATGATGTAGTAAGTTGGTCACGACAGTTAAATACAAGGTATATACATGAACAGACAGAAACTTGTGCATGACGTTTCGATGTCCCAGAGTTTAGGGGGCGGTCACCTCTCGCGGCCAACACCAATCAAGCACTATATGTGCTTAGTAAGTTGGTACGAAACATGAATACAAGGTATATTAAATGACTAGACAGAAACTTGTGCATGACGTTTCGATGTCCCAGAGTTAGGGGGGTCACCTCTCCACCTCTACAGGTCTGCCTGCGGCAGTTAATGAACGCGGGCTATAGTACTAGAGCTATAGTAGGCCCAACAACAGTAATAATGAAGACAGAAGCGTCAGCTAGATTGTCATCTTATTCATATAGCCATGTTTATTATTTATTATAGAAACAGAGTGCATGTATATTACTAAAATATAATAATATGCACACAGCCTAGCTGTACTATATAAATTATTGCCAGTTAGTTTGTTAGTGACCTAGCTAGACCTAGTCTATTGTAATTTAACTTGCCTTGGTTTAATTTGACTTGGACTTAGAGTTAGAGGGATATATATATCGCTACTAGCTCTAGTACTATTGCCCGCGTTCGATTAACTGCCGCAGGCCTGCAACAGGGGGGATGAAGGGTTAGATGAGGACTATAGTGTGATTGAGGTACATTACTCATTAGCANAAATGTTATAATTAAAAGTAATTAAGTGTCAACTACCTGAAAATGCTGGCCGGTTATTTCTATTTGTGCAATGTGGTTCTTTATTAAGTTACATTTTTCTTAAAAGTGCAATATTGTTGTCTTTTTATTCTAGGTCCTACACCTGTGACTAGTGTAGCAACTCCCAGGTATGTGTAATGCTGATTTGTGCTCATAATTGACAGTGCATGTAATGGTTTTTTGTATGAACACCATAGTGAGCCTCATCTAACA